GTATTCGATGATAATCTCAATAAGTTAATTATTGAAGGCTTTGTTCTTGCTTGTACACCTGTCACTTCGCTTACGCTGTCGAATCTTCGATCATTCTACAATCAATCATTCATTGATGAACTGTATACTTATGTAGAATTCAATTCCAAGAATTTTGTGCTTCACCCACTAATTGCTTTAGACACTAACCAAATCAACGAAACTATCCAATCGATTGCTGATCATTCATTCGTTGATCAGTGGATAGACGAACCTTCATTCACCAAATATTACAAAACCTGTGCTCCTCGATCGTGCACCTATCAGGTCATTCGTCATCCTAATCACATTTCAATTTTAATAACAATGATTTCAGTGTTTGGGGGACTATCAACTTCTTTGAAAATTCTGATGCGGATCATTCTACTAGCTCTGAAAAAATTTCAAGGTCAATTCTCACGAAGAGCGATACAAACATGGTTCATGGGTTTCAATAATCGACATCGTTTATCAAAACGAATAAATTTTGTCTTGATCTGTACGGCTCTCGTTAGCCTGTACCTTTCCAATGTTTTCAGAGAGTATCAACAAGTGGATGAAGTAGCGAGAGATCCATCACTCGAACTCTATTTAAATCTCGTTCGCCAATATCCAAGCGGATCTCTTCATTGTCCATGTTCACAAGTATCGATTCCTTACAACTCATTCATAAATATCTCAGTAACCAGCTATCACCAGGTATGCTCAAAAGAGTTCTTGACCTATCAATGGCTATATGCACACTTACCAAGACTTGTAGTAGTGGTCGCAGATCCCTTTTCATTCTCAGATGTCATTCCTAATTATTTTCAACTGATTGCCGAGTTCTGTCAATCGGCACAACGAACTGTGAACACTAGTTTATTGGAATTACTGACTACTTCTCTCATTGAAACATCACCAAATTCATCGCCAGAAAAATTTCAATATCTTATGGAAACTAGAATCGAACAGTTCAAAATGGGTATGTCGCAATCACTGATCAGAACACTAGAACTACTTCGTGAAGTGACACATATCAATCAATTGGTTACTATATTTCGTAGTAATTGGAAGTTTGTAGAACTCAATTCGATCAGAGAACTTGTCTATTCCGATGGTTTTTTAGTGCCAATGGCACCTGTTCTGTATGAAGGTTGTGATTGCGGTTTGTCGAAGAATTGTATGAAGTCGATGACTGACTCGGATAATGCTATAATATCGGGATTAATGATCGGTTGTTATCCTCTTGAAGCATTGCTTCAATCGTCGCTGGAATGTTTCTATGATGAAACATGTTTCCAAACGATGACTAGTGGAAGCACTAGTTTTATGGAAGCTTCATCGTTAATATTGAACGCTTCGATACCTAGTCGATATCATCCGAGTACTATGATTGAAGAGATTCTCAATAATGTTTTCATTGAAGAATGGTCGACTAACATCTCATATCAAGAATACTACAAAGTTTGTGCTCCATCATCATGTTCATATTATTATCTGAAATCGACTCCCACTGTTGGGATCATAACGAAACTCTTAGGACTCTATGGTGGTCTAACGATCATAATTGAACACATTGCTGTGCCATTAATCATTCAATTGGGCTCTCTCTTCAAAAGATCATTTCGTCGTGTTCACAACGTCGATCATTAAAATCTGTTGCATATTCGACAACATTCTCCATTTCAATTAGCCTTCTGAAAAATAAAATAGTTCCACTGTCTCCACCAAATTTATTACAGAAATTCATTACTAAAGACTCAATTCTCTCATTTCGTCAACGAACATGTTTGATGCACTGATGATATCGCTTCTCTGTTACTCTTTGATATTCTTGAATATATCAAGATCTTATTTCAGATCATGAACATAACAAAAATCGCGCTTACATCTTGCATAAAATTTTCGTAATGTGAACAAATATCGGATCATGGAAGATTACTTCAACTTTGAAAAGATCTCGCCTCACACACCCATACTCACAATAATAGAGAATAGCTGCCATAATCTTTAGTCTACGAAAGTGCAAAAATAGAAAAACTGAACTGACATTCGATATCAGGTGTCTCTGTAGTTGTTCCAGACTTCGATTGTTAGATTGAATTTAATTTCATTATCCATAGCCGTTCCATATGACTCACTCATTCGCCAAGACTAGAATTCGTCATGCTTATGTGAAATTTATTTTTTCCGAATTAATGTAGCGAATATCTTTGATAGAATGATCAGTGTCATGAAGGATCAAATATTCAGTTCTAAAACCTTTTTTATCAAACAAATAATGTGTTTATTTATCTGTTCTTTTAGTTCTACTCGTTGAAAAACATTAGTTGGATTCTCTTTATTGAAATGAATAGCTGATATACTGTAAGAACGATATTTCGATGGCTACGGTGAAACAGGAGGAATCTGTTGCTTTCACATTTCATACATAAAACAGAACAGGAAGTATAACAAATGTTACGAAAATTTGGATGCATAAATCTTCCGACTTCTAAATAATTCGTCACAAATAAAAATAGTATTTACTTCTAGATTCATGATTATCTTGAAGTTGACCGTAAATCAAAAGTGTCCTAGCACAGTTACCAAAGACAGCAACATAAATCTTGTCAATTAATGCACTTACCTGACGCGTTGTAGAGGTTTCAAAATTGTTCTTTCACGTTTGATCTTGTCGTTCAATTATCAGAACAATATGATGATACTCTTTCACCTTTGACTTATCTAATTTAGGAAGCATATTGAATAGTCAGTTTAACGGTGAGATATCTGCCCGTAGCTTGGTCCATGAACGAAGGCGAGAGGAATTATTTCGATACATTTGACGTATCTCGTTTTTATGATAAAGCAGGCAACGCAAAGTTTATAATACCGGAAATATATTGTTTTCTTTAAATTTCCGACAGCTGGACTCTCCAGTTCCTTTGTAGTGACATTCACTGCAGTAGGATTTACTGATTTCTATAACGACTTTCTTTGCATTATCATTCATAATACTTAAAATATAATGAAAAGTGTTTAAAATAAAGACCAAAGTAGAAGAAAGAAGAACAGAAACTTTTTCTTACGCATTCAGATCAGATATAAATACGAAAATTAGGCATATCTACTAAGTCACTAACGATCAGGCTAAATTTGACCCCTAAATTGCCATTTCTGCCACCAAAACTCAATCAGAATGCAAAATAAATACCATATTCAGAATCAGCATAAAAATCTAAATCGAATATGATGGGTTTCTAATCATTCAGACGACTTTCGTTTTCTGATGGATATCTTCGGTAGGTTGTTACTGTCGAAAATGAAAACAAAAAAGTGTTCCAAAATGATTATTTTCTATCACATTCGACTCAGGTTTTTATGTTGATTCTGAATATGGTATTTATTTTGCATTCTGATTGAGTTTTGGTGGCAAAAATGGCCATTGAGGGGTCAAATATAGCCTGATCGTTAATGATTTAGTAAATACTCCATGTCTCAGCCGAAGAACAAAATTTCTTAAAAACCATATGTACTTTTTTCCTTGTCGAATGACGATTCGATTGGTATATAAATATTTAGAACATTTTTTCAAACAAAAGACTAGATTGGGTTTACAAGAGATGAGTGTCTATAAGTCACTTTTTCATCCTAGTTGATCTCATGAAAAATTCTGACTATGTTAAAATTTATTTGAGGATACATTTTAACACTCAGTTTGACATGCTGAATCTGAATAAAGCAGTTTTGAAAGCCTATATTTAGTAGAAAGGGGCAAAATTTCACGTTTTCTTCCGAAACAATAATTTTTTCCCTTTTCAATTTTTCATAGCATTTTCAATGTTTCAGATCCAAAACTTGATCAAAACATAATAAATTATACATATTCAGAATCAACTCGATAAGCTCTATCAAATGATGTGAAAAACAAAAAAAACGTTTTTTTTTTTGCTTACATTTTGCCCTTGCTGCACCTTGGTAAAAGTGAGGCGCAAATAACATTGACGGCACATATCATATTACAATGAAAGAGAAGAGCAGGGTAAAAAACACAAGTTAAATGAAAAAAACAGAAGGTCTACATGATAAAAAAAAATTTAATCAATCGAAAGTCAAAATGAATAGAGCAGAAAAAGATTAGACAGCTGCAAATCTTTCTTTCAATAGATGAATTATTCTGAAAAATTATATCGACTCAATGAGGACGATTTTTCTCGTGAAATAATAAAAAAGAGATGCATTTAATTGCAACTATCTTGATACACTGATAATGGGCATAAACAACTACAGAGTTAGTGAAATTCACAAATTCATTGTTACTATGAAGACGATTAGCTTAGAGAACAAATCGATTGTGATGATCTTTCTGTTACGCAGTTCAAAACAGGAGCGAGATAATATGACACCAAAAAACCATTTCTACGAAGACTGAACTGCATATCTTTTCTTCGTTTTATCATTATATAAATTATATCTTTGAATCATAACTTTGATCTTAATGAACAATATACATGATGAAAAGTGACAAAATTATCAAAAAACTAAGCAACTCCGTTAAGGTAAAGATAATTGTTGTTCGACAAGTATATTCGTATAAGATTTAATGAATGAAGCTTTTTCTTCACAATTTTTGAATTACAGGGTTAGATAGCGTGTGAGATAAATTGAAAATAGGAATGACAATTAATATTCCTGGTATCTTGCTGTGATAGTCAAATGATAAACAGCAGGAATGATATTGTGCATCGTGAAAAGCTTAAAATGTGCAAATTGAGAACAAAAGCTCCCGTAATGAAACACCTGGACATATGTGTAAAGTATAAATATCGTTTTCATCAATAAACTATAGCACACATTTACGACTAGTACGCCCTTGCATCACGATGTACGTTTCATCGGGGATTCTTTTCATCGTTGTCTTTATGATGATACAGAACGTTGGAGCCGTTTACAATAAGCTCGAATTCACCGATTGTGGCTCTACGGCTCTTGTCATCGATAAGTTTGATGTTAATCCAATGCCGATCTATTTTCCCGGTATTGCCAATGTATCATTGGCAGCCACTGTGAAGCGACCCATAAGTAAGTGATATAAATATGGAAAGATGAAATAAGTAGCGATTGATTCTCACATAGAAACATTTGAACTATCTTTTAATATGAATCGCACGGTCAATGGTCTTACACTTCCCATTAAATGCTATATGATGTATGGCGTATCTCTTGGGTCATGTAGCTATAACGGTGCTCGTCTGTGTCAAATTATGAATGACTCTTTGTTGGAAAACTTGGGATGAGTTATTCAGGTATTACCTTGGCTTCCTTTTTTTCTATATATATGAGCACATTTAGAAAGGATCACGTATTTTTGAATTGTTCAAGTTTCCACATAATGAAACCTATCTTTTCTCTTTTGGGTCTCAACAATCAATGTTCTTTCAATACGGTACCGATTCAAAAAGTCGACCATCACCATCAGGTGTTTGACTTGATTCCCATTACGTCGATGGTTTTCCTCCTTTTACAACCTGGTGATTTTTCTGTCAAGATGACAGCTTATGAGCAGGATGCACCACGTGATCAACCTCTCTTCTGTGGTCAATTTAAATTCACGATCAAGCAAGGCAAGAGTAGAAACAAATAGATGAATCCTTCAATACATGAGCAAATGGTAATGCTATGACAGTGTTTGCCTTCCATATGTATTTGAAAGATAAAATGGTTTCTCTAAGTTGCTTTAGATAAACCTCTTGGCTTGCACATATCACAGCTCATGAAATATGAAAGTAGCACCATTTGACGATGAAAAAGTCCGATTGCTATCAGAAATGAGGGATTTATTCATAAGACCTTAATTCACGACTAAGTGCTTAACACATGCATTAACGGAACTCTCCTCTTTTCTCGACGCAAAATTTTCATCTATTTCGATTTTTGTAATTAGAAACGTACTTCATAAATCTTGATGACTAATAGTTTCAAGAACTCGTTTTATATCTTCATTTATCTGCTGCAATATTGCATAATTTCATGGAATTGAATATAGGTAAATAGTTTGAGCTTTTTTATAATATTCCAACTCTTGTAAATCTTCTGCACCACACTTCTTCATCGAACCAACCGATTGTTCGATAGATAAAAGTCCGTAATGAAGATAGTCTATATCATCGGGATTCTTAAGAATATTCAATGTTGATACAAAATAATGTGATGCAGCTGAATACTCTTCCACAGATGCTAGTGTTAAACCGAAATTGATCAATGTTGCAATAGTATTTCGATCAAGTTCAAATGTTTGTCCATGATATTTTGCAGCTTTATCATATTGCCCAGCGTATTCTGCATAAATATTCGCCAGATTATTGAGCGCAGATATAATGAATTGCTAGTCGATTTTTTAAATCAAAATCATCGAATGACTCGAGCTGTTCTTGTAAAAAATTTTTGTAATAATTTTCGATGGTCATCAATGTCGTAAAAACAAATGGCTTAATATTAATATTGGATTGTATTCCATTATAAAATGTGTTTTGTTGTCAAAATTTTTCATATCAAATTCATAGAGAACAATGATATGCTTTTCATTATAAACGTCTATAGCCTTCTGTTTACTCTTCATAACATATTCTAACGTACATCTTTCTTTTGGTGTTGTTGAAAAAAAATGGTTTAAAAGTTATATAATAATCTTTACTTCGCTTCAATTGATTAAGTTTTTCTGTTGACATTAGGCGTGCACACCAGTTCTAGTCGGACTGGGTACCTACTTAGCTCATCTAGATTTCGTTAAACGATTAGTACTATCGTTTTTTCTAATAAATTGTAATTATTCGAATTTGAGGCTGCTAAAGAATTGATGTAAACTATATGATATTGAATCGATTAATTACTCTTACATTATTATACGTCATTCGTTACTACTTTTCAAATTATCAAATAATTTTCTATATATTAATTATATTTTTATAAGACACTCAATCATCAACAATTTTCTTCTATTATCATCTTTTTGGACTATCTCGTCCTAGTATTGACAGTTATTCAAAATAACAGATCTCTGGCATTATATTTTGGAGAGATGATTGTTTCTCGTTTGACTATTACTCGGGTCAGAAAAGAAAATTCTCACTTATTATAACAAAAACCAAAGAAATATGGTTGACTTTATGAGAGTGGTAAAAAACTGTAATTGATCTAGATAAATTTCAAGCGATAAATATTAATCAATATCAGTTCTTCTCTCTCTCTCTCTCTATATATATATATATAGTGGGTATCCAAAAATATTTACAGTGTAGTCTGTTTTGCGAATATCTCTATTGACTTGTTCCGATGGTTCCTTCCATATTCAAAATGAAAATCATATACGGCAGCATTATTTTCCACCGTATTTAACATAAGAAAAATGTTTGAAAGAGTTTTTTGTTTTGCAGTAGAAATTTGTTCATAAAGCTTTTGTAGATCTTTCGGTTGGTATGTGCGCAATAATAAAAAAAAGATAGAAAAAAATTGTTTCGTATAAATACCATTCATTTAAACAATCATTCATAAAGACAAAACATTAGGCATACTGGATAAAAACTTGTTAATATATATGTAATTTATTAATAAAAAAAACAAAGGAAATAAATTCTACTGTATATATTTTGGTCTATTGAAAACTTGATTATGTTTATTGGATGAGTAGCATCATAATTACATAAAAATAAATACGATCATATCACTTCATATTTATGTTTCGAACGTTTATAAAATTAAATAATCACTCTATAACAAATATAGGATGGACCAGAATAAATTAGATTATTTGTATTTTTAATATTTCTTCTCCTTTCTTCACTTGATTGAAACACTTTTTTTGTCATAAGAGAGCGCTCAAAATTCTCTACAAAACCATATATGATTGGACCTAAACACTATTTTAGATATATTTGAAACAAGATAAAAACTAAATACATACAAACACCTGTAAGAAACAAATATGAAAATGGTGATTAGAGGTGTCACACCTGTCTTTTGGAAGGATTTTCTATAGTCGTACTTTGCTTTTTTTTTATTTGTACAGCACTGTTGGAGTTAAAACTGTTTTTTAAAAAGTTAAAAGTTGAGAAAAACGAGAAAAAGTTAAAATGGTTATAACTATCAACCATCGTTATAACTATCAACTATTTTCGAATAATTGGTTCTTCTAATTTGAAACTGAATGAATAAAGTAGACAGAAATGTTGCTTCTGCACATAGACATGTGTAGGATATTAGATCGGATCATTTTAGTAGTTTTCTTTTGTTTGTCTAGGCATGTGAAAAATCATTCGGTAGCTCTTTTGTGTTTTTGTTTCCGTCCTTATGTTGAGTAAAGTGGACTAAAACTATTTTTCGAAACTTGACTAAAACTGAAAGCTGATTTAGAGTTAAAATAAATGAAATCGTGGACACTAATTATGCCGATCAATGTTATTGCAGCAAAGGACAAACAATAGAACAAGAATTATGCAGTTTTTTCAAAGCCATTAGATAATCGTCAACATTTTTTGACTTCAAAACTAATTGAATGCATGTATAAACTATCGTACATCACTCTTCTGTTCCTAGGATGAGTGTGGGTGTGGGTATGGATGTGGTTGTAGGTGGGCATGGGCGGGCGCGGGCGTGGGTGTGGGTATGGGTATGGATAAAGAGAAGTGAACACCCACACCCTTATAGTGCTGAACTTCAGATTTGAATATTCATATCTACAAGCTCTTCAATTTCATTACAAACAAGAGTTGAATACTATGCTTGCTTTTATTCTATTCGGTTTTATATTGAAATAGATTTAACGGGAGAAAAAAAATAGATGATCAATGAATTAAAACTATTGATAAGCAAACACCAGAAATATACTCAGAATGGTAGAAACAATTACTGGTAGTTATTGGATTGTTTAGACATTGCAAAGATCCGATGTGCAACAGCAAACGTTGCTAACAAAACCGTTTTCAACCATTGTTTGACAGCCCTTTGTTGTACCTCCTATGCATATTTCAGCAATTGGTCCTACATAACGAATCACCATAGCGGTCCCAAGCATTGTAGTGTTGGCTTTCTGTAACAAGAAAAGAAAAGCTTGTAAATACAACCGTTTAAAGCTAAAAATACGAAACACAGAAGTCTTTTTTTAGTGTTATTCTTGCACTAGTGCACTTATATCATGATCTTACGTCATTCTCAGAACGTATTCATCTCATATGTTTACTGAGAAACGTACTTTTTCAATCCGGTTATTATGAAAATAAAATCCAACTATCTTTGGACAGACCATTGTAGAGAACTTGTAGAAAAGAAGTTTCTTGTTTCAAATGGAAATCTACACTCATTATTTTCCTTGGAAAAATAACTCGGAGTCCTACAAATTATTATCATCACGAGAAAAAGCTATTCTTGTTACACCTACCCCGCATACACTGCCAGGAGGCACTTCCACCTTTAAGATACTATTCAGATCCGTTGCTTTGAGCGATTCACCACACGCAGCGTTATTGGCACTACTACATACATAACACTGGTATGCAGTAGCCAAACTAATACATCCTATTCAGATCATCCAAAATACAAAATATTTTTTTCACTATTTCAAACTTTCTCACCTAAAGTAAGAAGAAGAACAAAGGTCGAACGCATTGTTTTAGGAATAAAAGTTTCAATATCGATTGCTGATACTAAAGGTTTATACAAAAATTGCCAGTTCTTATATATCATTGCAATCAATCTCTTTCATTTCTGATAGTAATATGATAGTTTTAAGCCACGATCGATATCGAATATTTCATTTCTTCATTAGCCGATGATTTTGCTTGCTTTCGATGAATAACTCAATCCATTAATTTCCTTTGCAAACACAGGTCTTGATGTCGATTGAGAGAAAAAAACGAAGAAATATAGCTCATTCGCGTTACCCATCCAAGTCTTTGTCAATTAACCTGTGTGGAAAAGTGTGTTATAAAAAAACAATCCCTATTTTTTCATTTCACTATGTTTTGCTATTGGTTCTTTTTCTCGTGTCTATCAGATTCTATTAATATTGCTGCGGGCCATATTTGAATCTGAGTATATATCAATGATATATCTATTTTCGCGAGCGGGGTGAAATTGAGTTGGTAGATTGTTCCTCTTTTCCAAAAGCAAATATTCTCTTTTAGTATTGTACTCGGTTATATGTGGAAATATATTTCGAAGAAAGATGAAATTTTAGTTATTGAATATGAAGAGAAGAATAAAAAGTCACAGTAGTGCTGTTTTAAAATCATTGCTAGAAGATCATAACCGATGTAGTCATGATAATCGAAACAATATTGTACTGTCAATGCACCGTGACACATACTGAATGTGCAATAACAGACAGTACCGATGATACCTCCTCTGCACTTTTTCTTACAAACAATTGTGCCTCATATAGGTATGTGGCAGTATTTTGTGGTATACTCTGTACTACGCTTGAAACACCTGTTGTTTCGAGTCTGTTCCATTTCTGCAATACAGAGCAGAGAGTATTAACAAAAATTTATATTAAAACAAGAGATATTGTTGATCAAGCATACCACGCATGTTACACCATTTGAAACATTCCGCTTCTGGTTATTAGTCAGACCATCTGCCTTCAATGGATCGTTGCATGCATTTTCACCAGTACCTTCACATGCATAACATTGATATATTATGATCATACTGATATGTTCTGTTCAGATAAGCGAGAACAATACTACCTGAGGGTGAGTATAGCTACCACGAGAACCTAGAATTATTTCGAAAATTGCAGATATCTTAGTTAATGAGAAGATAATATGGATTTGGTTTGGGATCATTTTAAATGTTCGGCAATAAGTATGGCTGTTGACTGTTATTTATATTATCACGTTAGATAGTGTGTTGTATTTGCAATAAACAATATTATTTTTATTTTATCGTATGTGATTTACGGCTATGTTGATTATACAGGGTTGGAAATAATATTTTGATAGGGGAGTACCGCTATAATTTCAAATACAAGACATAATGAATTTTATATCAGATGAAAGCTCATCAAAAATGGAGTTTGTTGATACTAAATAGTAAGGATTATGAACACTTTTGAATATCGAACTTAACAAACTTTCAGAAATTTTATACTTTTTTTGCGGTGTAAAAGTAAAGTGTCAGTAATTGAAAAATGGATTCAAATGTTTTTCTTGGATATTTTTACATGGTTCGATAGAGCTTATCGAGTTCTACAAAACTGTATGCACTAAAAAATTTTTTAAACAGAGTTGTTGGGTTAAAATTCACTGAAAACTGTCTAAAGAATGTACCGAAAAACCCTCATTTTTTACATTTTTTATAGGAAAAAAAGTAGTTTTTTTTTGCACTAAATTCAGCTGTTTTCCATTAGTATTCTTATGTAAAATGTTTGAAAATATACTCATTCGATGCAGCGTGAAAAACTGCATCGAATGAATATATTTCGAAACATCTGAGGAAATAAAAATAATCAGAAAAAAGAAAATTTTATTGAAAATTCGAGTGCTTTTCTTCCATATCAAAAATATGACTTTTTTTTAGCATTTTTTTAAGATTTTCCAAATAGTTTTTGAAATTTTTATCACAAAAAAAGACTCAAAAAAATTTTAATATATACAGTTTTGTAGAGCTCGATGAGCTCTATCGAACCATGTAAAAATATCCAAGAAAAACATTTGAATCCATTTTTCAATTACTGACACTACTTTTACACCGCAAAAAAAGTATAAAATTTCTGAAAGTTTCTTAAGTTCGATATTAAAAAGTGTTCATAATCCTTACTATTTAGTATCAACAAACCCCATTTTTGATGAGCTTTCATTTGATATAAAATTCATTATGTCTTCTATTTGAAATTATAGCGGTACTCCCCTATCAAAATATTATTTCCAACCCTGTACAAGTTCTTGTTTCACTAATGTATAACCAGATATGTCCTTCATCAACACTAGAGCAACACCAAGATCGAAAACCTCTTCTTGAATTCTTGACCAATTTTTCAAATGTCAACAATGGATTTTCGTGCATGCGTTGGACGGTTATCGCTACATTGGGCTTTTCCACATATATAGATTCGTAATGTATCAAAACTCGATGAAAATGTCATTTTCTATTCGCCTTTCTAATGGATTTATTTGAATAAAATCTCTAGAAAGAGAGTAAAATAGGATAGTCGGATACTTTTTTGACCGACTGTATATGAATATTGAATCGATTACACAATATAAATACGTATTTCTTTGATGTCGAATATTTTTGAAAGTCGTAAAAAGCGTCCAATAAGGACACTGTTTTCAATAAATCAAGTTATTTCACAATGCAGAACCTAATGAAAATAAGTTTGAATAAGTGCATTTCAGTATTCGATAAAATGAATGAAATGATTTAATTTTGTATGTGTTCTGATGAATAAGAATCAAATGCAAGTCCAATACTTATCTTTATTCTAAGATCTCTTTTGTGTTTATTTTGTCATGTGGGGTGGCTGACGTAAGAACTGATAGTGGTCATACGTGTGTTTCGTAAAAGAAACAATGTGCGTCAACGAACATCATCAAGTTGAAGACAATAAATAGGAGTCGAAAAAAATAGTCTCTTTGTTGAGATAGATTTGAAACAATATCAAAATTTCTTATTCTCTTTGCGAATAGATTGTTTTCTTTTAGAGACCTATCATGGAAAACGACTGCAAAGCAACAGCAACATATAGTACTCAACCATTTGATACTCTTTCGGAGTCTTCATCAACCAAACAAAAAACTGAAGTCATTCGTTGGAATGCAAAAACAGTATTATGGACATGCCTCATAGGTCTGATAGCATTATTTGTTTTCGTTGGAATACCATTAGTACAAATTATCATTGGTAGTTTATATAAGGATAAATGTCCTGTTAATCCTTATATTCCAATATATCTTATTGTCACAGGTGCTGCTACATTAACTGTATTACCAACCCTAATTTTAGGGGTGAGATTTATCTACAATCTATTAGTTTTATAACGTCAGCTTCGTTTTGTAGGTCACTGTCAAAAAATTATCGTTTTTGCTTTATTTAAACATGGTTTTTGCTTTATTAATGTTTGGTTGGTTCATAACAGTAAGATTAGAAATAAACAAAAAAAATATTAAAACTTATTTGGATCATTTTTATTTAGGGTACTGTCTGGGTGATTCAAAGTCAAAACAAAGTTCAATTTTATAATCCTAATCTTCGAAGTACTTACTGTCACAATTCAGTCTTCAGTATTGCTCGTACATTAAGCTTTTTGAATTATTTTTATCTGACCAATATAGTATACCAATTTGCGAAAAGTTAAGAACAATAAGTTGATTATATTATTCCGTCTTCATTTTATTTTTGTAATCAATTGTTTTCAACCATGTGTAAAAATATAATTTTCAATGAAATTCTTTCGATGTATTTTGAATAAAATGACAATTCCTCAGTTCGCGTTTGCTTGTTGTATTCTTTTTTCCTTTGCATTAAATTATGATCGAGTAAGTGTAAATGTATAAACTCAAGCTGTGTGACACTTCGAATGAAGCAGAACAAATCGCTTTTTGCCTATAAGAATAGTACTCATCAACCTTCTATTATGCTTCCATGCCATGGAAATCGCCTTGGTTTGGATGATTAATCGCGATTTTTTCAGAAAAAAATCAGCGAAAATTGCCACTTCCATTCTAAAGTCCTTTGGCTCTGTTATTTGCTCTTTTCCAATCGATTATGTTTGTTACCTATCAGAGATGGGATCGGTTGGCATTTTTTCCTAACCGAACCTATCGTAACTGAAAAAATTGCTAACCGAACCGAACGTAACCGATCGAATTTTAAAAAATTTCCAATCGAACCGATCGTAACCGAAAAAATCGCTAACCGAACCGAACGTAACCGATCGAATTGTAAAAAGTTTCCAACCGAGCCGAAAGTAACCGACCGAATTTTTTTCTAATGTTCAGTTAGAGAAAAACACTTACTCAACAAACTGAATATTAGCAAAAACAAATTGAATATTGGCAATAACAAATTGAATACCATCAACATCAAGCTGAATGCGAACAGCAAATTGAATGCTAGAATTCCATCCGGGACAAGCTCGAGTTGAAAAGTCGGCTGACTGCAGACGCGATCAGCTACCGCCGATAATAATAGATATGAAAGCTCAAGGAATTCTATATGAATGACACTTAAATTTGCTGACTTCCTGCTACTGAATCATTCTTGGAATATAAATGACAATCATCAGCTGTTAATTATCGTTTTTCTGCATGTTTCTTTTGCTTGTTTGACCGCCATTAGGAAAAACGTATCTATGCGTTGCAGACTTCATGATGTACTATTTTAAATTTCACAAGGCAATAATTAATGAAACAATATATGCACTTAACATTTTAGATCTCAATTGCCATGTAAGACTGAATCATCCATAGCCTTATAAGAAAACTATCAGCTGTTAAATATCACTTTCGATTTCTTTAATATCTCCCAGACTACATCGAATCTTCAGATACGGATTTCAGATGTGCACTTATGGCGTTCTCATGATCTCGTCAAACTTTTTTCCGATTCTAAATAATACTTGGGCGCTAAGAATGCGGGACTGACTAGAATCGTGACTCATGTGTTGAGAAGAAGAAGAATTTACGATGACAACTAAGCGAGTCGAGAACAATAAGTCGGCTACTGCCTGTACTTCGTGCAGTCAGTCGACTTAACTGTAGTGCGATCGTGCTATTTTTTTTCTTTGTTATATCTCACCGGAAAATCCGCTGAAATCAAATTAAAAAAATGATTTCGGCTCTTTCCAACCGAACCGAACGTAACCGACCGAATTTTTAAAATTTTCCAACTGAATCGATTTCGGTTACGGTCGGTCGGCTCGGTTCGGTTAAAAACTGAACCGATCTTATCTCTGTTACCTATAAATTAAGATCTTTCTTACGAGCAAGAAACATGAGAAAAACAAACTTGAGAAGGCTCTTTGATACGCATTCTGATGTCATCTACTGATTTCATCATGATCGTGTCGGTTTCTTTTATCAATCTTGATTTTATTGGGAAAATCTGAAAAAAACATCACGAACTTTGACGAAATATCGCGATAAGGTCATCGATATTGTCGCAATTTTGAGAACGTGCGCCATTTGAATTGAAAAATTACATATGTAGTTTTGTAGAGCAGCACACAGTGCATCGAATGGTATATAGTAAATGACATTTTTTATTGAGTTGTTGTGCATTACGAATCTATATACGTGTAAATTTAGCAGAGATTCTTTTTTTCCCTAAAATTTCATTGTTCTTGACAAAAATTGATTTCCAATTTTGAAATATGTTACCTTTTTTCTCCAAATACCTTCGTCGGACAGAGCAAATATAATTCTCTATCATAGACAAGTTTCACAATAATCCACCTTTCTAAAGGATTTATTTGAATAAAGTCTCTTACAGGGTGTTTCATAAGTGTTGGGACGCGACAAAATTGATTTATACTGACATATAGATCAGTCTCCAACCTTTATATTTTTATATTAATTTCAAGTACTCGAGATGGGGTGTGGATGTGGGTGTGTGGGTGTGGATGTGAATGTGGGTATGGGCTTGGGTGTGGGCGTGGGTGTGGGTGTTCTCTTTAGTGTCGCCTACACCCATACCCATACTTCGAGTTTCCCTTTATCTCAAAAGAATTAGCTTTTTCCTTAGACAATAATTCACAGAGAAAAGTATGATTTTTTCATAGAAATAACTGTTTGAGTCTTTGAAAAACTGACTTCAGATTCGGATTCTCCGACCCTGATTTACTTTCGTGAACTTTTATCAAAAATTCACCGTGGGTGCTTTTTTGACCTTGCGACAAGCAAACGGGCAAACTATTTTTTTTCATATGACTCTTCCTTCAGTCGAGGGAATCAAACTTCACCAGAATCGAATCAGTCTTACAAGATATCATCAGAACCAACAAATATTCTGAAAAATAAAAAAAAGAAAAGAGAATCAATATTAATCATTTTATTCACTGACATAAATTTTCGACGGAGCTTCTACGAGTCCTATCTCAATTATAAATTATAATTTTTTTTCTACTGTTCTGCTGTAGTTATAGTACTGTCCTGTCTCGTTTATAATTTATAATTTATAATTACTTTTGGTGTGTTTGTCTTGCATTTATACAAGAGTTGTGTCCGGACTATAATTGATATTCAAAAAAAAGTTTTTTTGTACCTTCATTGACCCTGACATGTTTTTGAAATCTCCATTTATATTATAACTCGAATTAGGCACCTACTCATTTATCTAATAAAGTTCAATGTTTCACTTCCTTTTTCCTTTGAACAGAAATCGAGTAAATGAAAATATTTATTTTTATCAAATATTATCATGAAATGTATTGGAATCGAAGAATAAATATATTCGTTTAAAGTTTCTATTCATTGAATTGTTGTGAATAAACTCTTATTTACATTATTTTAAAAACAATCATTATATAACTAATTGTAGAAATGCTACTTTTTAATCAGTCAAATGAAATATATATAAATTTCTTTTTTCATTCTTTATTCAAACATCATACATTAATAACGCTCAAGCATAAAAGAATATTTCAAAAAAAAAACTCTTCATAAAATAAATGATGGATTTATATTAATATTCCAAAGCTTTATATAATTCGTACAGAGAACGATTAACTATATGTCCAGTACTCAATAAGATTCCGAGCGCCAGAGATGTCATAATATCCAAAGGCTGGGTATCGGGGAGATACTAGTCACGATATCCGTCAGAGTGGATACCCAAAGTGGATACCCTATCTTGTAAAGTTGAGGATTTTGAGTGAATTTGGTGTAACGAGATGGATACCCTATCGTGTAAAGTTGAGGATTTTAAGTGAATTTGGTGTAACGAGATGGATACTCTACCTTCAAAAGTTGAGGATTTTGAGTGAATTTGGTGTAACGAGATGGATACCCAAAGTGGATACTCTATCTTGTAAAGTTGAGGATTTTGAGTGAATTTGGTGTAACGGGATGGATACCCAAAATGGATACCCTACGTTCAAAAGTTGAGGATTTTGAGTGAATTTGGGGTAACGAGATGAATACCCAAAATGGGTGGGTGTGGGTCTGAGTGTAGGTGTGGGTGTGGGTGTGAGTGTGGGTGAGGGTGCGGGTGTGGGTGTGGGTGCGGGTGTGGGCGACTGTGGGTTTGGGTGTGTGTGTCGGTGTGGGTGTGGATGTGGATGTGGGTGCGGGTGTGGGGTATCGCTGTGGGTCTGAGTGTGGGTGTGGATGTGGGTGGAGGTGTGGGATATCGGTGTGGGTGTGGGTGTAGGTGGGTAGTGGGCAGGATGTTCTATTAGTGTTAGCAGTAGCATTAATTAATGCTAATACTAATGCTTTGGTATTCATGGCATTACGGTGAATTAATGCAAGATATTTGCATTAAATTCGCATTAATTCCTAATGCTGATGCCTTCTAGTTGTGCCCATCAGTCTGAAATTACATGAGACGCTACTAGCATCACTCGGGAAGCCTCTAGCATACCTGGGATGCGAATAGCCTCACATTGGTAGCCTCTGGCATTCCCCATATGCTGCTAGCACCACCTGGGAAGTCTCTAGCATTTTTGAGATCCCACTAGCTCTCCAGGTATACCACTAGCATCACCACGGATGCGTCTGGCATGCCTGGGATGCTACTAACATCACCAGCGGTGCCTCTGGCATTCCAGAGATGCCAATAGCCTCACCTTGGTTGTATCTAGCATTCCTGACATCCTACTAGCAGTTCTGGGATGCCACCAGCACCATCTGCGAAGTCTCTAGCATTCCTGAGAAACTCCTAGCAGCCCTGAGATACGATTAGCATCACCTGACACCCTAATACCCTCACCTCGGATACCTGTAGCAGACGCAGGGATGTCACAAGCGTCATCTCCGATGCTTCCATCGTTCCTGCGATACTATTAGACTCATCCCTAATTCTAGTAGCACCATCCGGGAAGCCTCCAGCATTCGTGGAATGATATTAGCAGTCCTCGGATGCACCTAGCAGTCCTGGGATGCTACTAGCAGTCTTCGGAAGCTACTAGCAGCCCTACGATGCTTCTAGCATTCTTGGCAACTTTAGTGTCATTTAAAGCAACGCTAGAAGCATTCTAAGTGATGCTACTAGCAAACTAGGATTGCCAGTAGGATGTCATGTAATTTCAGCCTGGTAGGCACGACTAGGAGGCATTAGCATTAAAATTAATACTGATTTCATCCTAACACCTTGCATTACTAAACACTAGTGCCATTAATGCGAAAGCGTCAGTGT